ACCAGGCTGCTCCTTGGAGGCAAGGATTCTGAAGCTTTGTCTGACATACTTTGGGCATGTTGCAAGGAGGGACCAGTCCTTGGAGAGGGACATCATGTTTGAGTGGGTAGAGGGACAGCACAAGAGAGGAAAACCCTTGATGAGATGGATCGATTCATTGACTCGGGTAATGGGGGTAGGTGTGTCAGAGACAATAAGGTTGGCACAGGGTAGAGCAGGGTTTAGGTCTGTTGTGCATAGGGTCGCTATGAGTTGCAAGTGACTCAATGGCAAATAACAACAACAACCCCTTATGTTAGCCCTTAGTTGGGGACATGATCTCCACCTACCTCAACTGGTGACATAAAGTCACATAAGTCTCACAGCTGTGAGACCAATAAAAGAGACTTCTTTCCACACTGGGAAAAAAGTGGAAAGATATTACAATGAAGAGGAGTGAGAAGATTGTGGCAAGATGTATCCAGACAAACTCTGAGATGGAGCCACAGTTAAAGGTTTTGTTTCTGGATGACAAAAAGAAATCTGACCTGTAACTGGTCTAAGATAAAGTTTGCTGGATGACTGAGGAAACCAGAAGTGTATATGTGATGCTGAACTGAACATGGAATTCCACTTGTTAATTGAGAAGGTGTCTTGAATTAACTGAGGAATTGTGTCTTCCTATTAATCTGATTTGGGACTGCTGGATTCAACTGATCTTTTTCTGGTATTCCTTGCCTCCTCCATTCCACATTATTTCCCTAATAAACCTCACCACTGTGAGTAAAGTCTGTGAGTCAATAAGCAGCAAGCATTGCATCTACTGATTCACAGAAACAGGTACAGGAGCACGTGGGGTGGTATGTCTGACCATTTAGCTATGTGTTTGCTACTATTATTGGCAGAGACAGTTCCCATTAGTGAAGTGGTTAGAAGTCATACTCAGTCGCCACCATATTGCATCCACTCCTCTTTCAATACTTTTATAGACACAAGTTCAGCCTGAACTTCTCAGGGTGGGAAATCAATAGCAACACAGTTGGAAACTAAAGTGAGTTTATGTATGTATGTATGGTTTTCCTTCCTTTATCCTCCTTATTAATTCCTAGTTTTGTGGTCTGAGAAGATGCTTTGTATTATTACTATGGGATCTATTCTGGAGAATGTTCAGTGCACACTGGAGAAGATATAATGCACTTTTGGGGCATACATTAGCCTGTATATATCTATGAGATCAAGTTGGTTTGTTGTGTGGCTTAATTCTTCAGCATCTTCGTTGAATTTCTTTTCTTGAGAGTGGTGTATTGAAGTATCACTACTACTATAGTGGTGTTGTCTACTTTTTTTTTTCAGTTTTGTTAATGTTTGCTTTGTATGCTTTGCAGCTCTACCATTTGGTGCATAAATATTATGTCTTCTTGTTCTGTTGACCCATTAAGCATTATGTAGTGACCTTCCTTGTTCTTTGTGATGGTTTTTGTATTGAAATTTATTTTATCAAAGATTACTAATGCTATTCTTGCTTTTTTCTAGTTGCCATTTGCTTGGTATATTTTTTTTCCATCCTTAGTCTTTATCTTCACTTTTCAGGTGTGTCTTTTGTAGACAGCATATTGATGGGTTTTGGTTTCTTTTATCCAATCTGCTACTCTTTTTCTCTTCACAGGTATGTTTAAGCCATTCACATTCAGTGTAAATTACTGAGAAGCTAGGTTCTATTGCTATCATCTTGTTGAGTTCTTTTTGGTGTACTTGCTGGTTACTTTGGTCCAACCTGCTTTCTGTGGTACCTTTTTAAGGAGGAGATCTCTGTGTTTCCTGTAATGCTGGTCTTGTTTTTACAACCTCCATTGGGTTATGCTTTTCTGAGAATATCTTGATCTCTCCTTCATATTTGATGGACAGTTTTGCTGAGTATAGTACTCTTAGTTGATAGTTGTGTTCTTTGAGTGTTTGATGTCATTTCACTGACCATTCTCACATTGTTCCTGCTGAAAAATCAGCACTTAATCACTTAGTCTTATTTGCTCTCCCTTATGGGTTAATCTTTGTTTCTCCCTAGTTGCTTTCAGAATCCTCACCTTATCTTTGGTTCTCATAAATTTGACTATGTTTTTTTCTTTTGGGGTCAATCCCATATGGCGTTCACTCAGCTTCTTGAAAATATATTCTCTCGGTTTTCATCAAGTAATTCTACCACAACCTTCTCGGTACCTTTACCTGATTCTTCCTGTTCTGGGATTCTGATTATGCACATGTTTTTCCTCTTGGTGGTGTCCCACATTCTTCTTAGGCTTTCTTCTTTTTCCTTCCTTTTTGATTCTGCTTTTTGTTCTAGTAGATCAGTGGTGACAATTGTGTTTCATTGGTTTTGTGTTCTCTTCAACTCTGTTTATTTGTCCCTTCAGCATGTTGACACCATCTGAAACATTGCCTCATTGGGAAGCAATACGGCCTGTGAGTCAACAGTCTCCTCTGTCAGGCAACTGCTGCACTTAGGCTGGGGGTGGAGGGGTGTCCAAGGTGCCCAGGGCAACAGGCAGCTCAAGCTCTGGGAGGGAAGAGGAAATGGGATCACCTGTGATATTGCTGTCTCTGGCACAGTTATGAGGGACATCAGCGGGTCATCCTCCAGATGATGGGGTGTCTAGGTGGCAGGTCCAGGTCTTCTAGGCAGCAGGGGGAGGAGCATCCTACTGGCCAGGCTAGGCCTCCAGGTGGCAGGTTCGGGGTCTAGGAAGGCTCCAGAACTGCCTGGTTCTTAAGGTGGAGATTCTAAATAATGCAAACTTTTTTGTAAGCATCCACTTTTATGATAATTCAGTCTTGTGAGAAACTGCACTGTAATCCCGAAAGTACATAGTTTGCAGCCATCAGCTGCTCTGTGGGATGGGAAATCTCCTCCCATGCAACTGAACTGCCTCTGAAAACCCGCTGGAGGGTCAGCTATGTGTCAATTATGACACAATGGTACACTACAACAAAAAAGCAAATGTGTGTGTGCATAACCACCATTTTAATATTTTCTCAATACAGATATGGTATGTCACATTTGACTCTACTTATGTGGGACATATAAGTTCCAAAACAGAATTTCCAGGGTCATAAAGGCCTATATGCACTTGATATAAAATGTGAGATTGCATCCACATGCCTTAATAGGAAAAGCTACTTTGTCATCTGTAGCCATGAAATCTGGCCAATCTTTGTTCTAGTAAAGATGTTTCCAAATTCTGTGCTACATAATATATGTATACATTTTTTCCCTGTTACATCTCTCAATTCTATTCACTGTCTGAGGTAAAGTAATTGATCACCATTTTTGCTGCTAGTATTATAACACCCACACTGGTTCTGTATCCCACCAAAAACCATCAGATGACTTTTCTTACCCTGCCTTCAGATTCCAGCTCAGAGCTTGAATTTCATTCCTGATTACACTATAGAGAAATGTAGGCCATCCGTTATCTCAACTCCACAACAGTGAGCTCACAGGAAGCATAAATGAAGGCCATCCTAGTGGCCTCTGAAATTAATTTTCTTTAAAAAAATTTTTTATTGCTATTTTAATGAATGTTTACAGAAAACTTTCCATAATTTATTGTTGCATTTTCCTCCCTAACACCCACCCAGTTTGCTTTTCTCTTTAAAAAGATTCTTTAAAAAAAAAAAGATTCTTTCATTGTCGCATAATTTCCTCCCTTTCCTTGCCCTCCCCCCAGTCAACTTTGCTGTGTACCTCTTATTCTATACTATTGTTATGCAAATACTTTGGACATGGAGCTTGGAGGGAAAGTAAGAAAAGAGGGGCTAAATAGTAGACACTGATTTTTATGACACCAATTTATAAATGGATTTTTCTAAAGCAATAGCTTTTAAAAATATATTTAACTTAATGCTTATATCAGCATCAATAAATGGAAATGATTATTACTAGCTGTTCTAAACAATTGTGAGAGAGAATGCACAGATGGAACAAAGTTTGCAAGTGGCTGTTAACAGTGTGGATTTTGGTATAGGGAAATTCAGAATGATCAACTGCAAAATTCCTTATCCTTTTCAAGTCTAAAAAGCCACCTTGTGAGGCCTTGAGATTTCTAAGGGGAAAGGAGTATTAATCACAGGGTTGCACAATTTGATGGGTGAAGGGAAGGATGGATAAAGGAAATGAGAAAGACTGGGTGTGAAAAACAAAGTATATGAACTTTCTAAGTAAACCAGTATAAAATAAAATATTCTTTTAAGCACATCCCTCCAAAAAGAAATTACAACTGCTCTGTTAGAAGAAGACATGAAGCTCATTCCAAATGCCCAAATCTAACTTCCAAGTTCAAAAACAACTGAAGGTAGGTTCTCAGTTTTCAATTCATGAAAATAGACATAGACAGCAGATATTTAATTCAGGTGATTCCAAAGTTCAGTATTTGTCACCAAACAAAAAAGGGCTAAGAGAGTCTGGCTCTGGAGAGAACATCTTTCCCAAATGTGATCTCTGAGATCTATCAAAACTTTAACTCCTGCTGACACTTTTCCCACAGCAGGAACATTTACAAGATTTCTCTATTGTGTAGACCCTCTGATGTCTAATAAAGTTAGACATATGATGAATTAAATTCTTTTCACAGAGGGGACATTTATGATTTCTATCCTGTGTGGAATCAGTGGACTCTAAAAAGAGCTTGTACTGTCAATGAAACTTTTCTCACAGAGGACATTTATAGAGTTACTCCCCTGTGTGGACCTGGTGGTGTCTGTTTAAGCTGCACCTCTTAATGAAACTCTTTTCACAGAGAGGACATTTATAGGGTTTCTCTCCTGTGTGGACCCACTGGTGTCTATTAAAGTCAGACCACTGCATGAAATTATTTCCACAGAGAGGACATTTATAAGGTTTCTCTCCTGTGTGGAAATGCTGGTGCTTTTTAAAGGAAGACATCTGAATGAAACTCTTTTCACAGAGAGAACATTCATAGGGTTTCTCACCTGTGTGCAGCCGCTGGTGTGTATTTAAAGTGGACCGCCGAATGAAACTTTTTTCACAGAGTGAACATTTATAGGGTTTCTCTCCTGTGTGTATCTGTTGGTGTCTACTAAAGTCGGACCTACGAATGAAATTCTTCTCACAGAGAGGACATTTAAAGGGTTTCTCTCCTTTGTGGACCCACTGGTGTATATTTAAGGTGGTCCTGTAAGCGAAACTCTTTTCACAGTGAGGACATTTATAGGGTTTCTCTCCTGTGTGGACTCACTGGTGTCTATTAAAGTGGGATTTGTGGAGGAAACTCTTTTCACAAAGAGGACACTTATAGAGTTTCTCTCCTGTGTGGATTTTCTCATGGTGGCGTAATCCGGAAAAGTCCCTGAAACCTTTCCCACAGTGATCACACTTGCAAGGCTTCTCTCCTGTATGGATTCTCTGATGCTTCATAAAGTCTGAACTCTGAAGAAGGGGGGCACTGAAAATATGTCTTTCCAGTGTGAGTTCTCTGATGACACACAAGCTCAGAATTTCTATAGAAGGTTTTCCCACACTCTCTGCAGCTCAGGAGCTTCTGGGGTGTCCGAGGTCTCAGCTGGTCCTTCTGTGGGGCCTCTTGCTTTTCTCTGAGTAACAACCTAGATAAGTCTCTCAGGTGAGAATCAGGCAAATGCTGGTCTAGCTGTTTCCCAGAAACCCATTCCTGAGGAGAGAGCAGCTCCTGTCTCTTCTTACCTTGGAGGTGTCCCTCTATCTTAGGGAGAAAATCTCCTTCTCTAAAGCATCTTTGTTCATTCTCACCAAAGAAGCCACTTGAAGATACCTGAGGATGGGCCTCTCCTGAGATGTGACAAGGGACATCTGGAGGCTGTTGGTCCCAACAGGTTTCCAAGTTTAGATTCTCTTTGCTGTTCTCCTGCTTCTCTCCTAAAAGAAGAAGATTTGAAACACTGCAGTCAATTTTATACCCTGATTTCTCCTTCATATGGCAAGTAAAGAGCATTAATTCTTTTTACCAAGAAGGTATCAATGAGGAAAAGGATAAAAACCAACATGCATACAGAAAGCCAGGCCCTAAATTTACTGCTCCGCATTCCAGATTAAGTTTTCCACTTTTGAGCTAGGAGAATTTCTGAAAAACGAACCAGGGTGCATATAAACTTTATTGGCTCCCCTAGAAAGAAAACACATAAAGTTGTACTGCAAATACAGTTCTTTATTATACCTGAAATAAAAGAAAGTAAATATGCCATTCTTAAGTTTTATGGACATTCTTCCAATTACAAATAATCCAACAATTCATCAAATGTCATAAATCTGTCTTTTTATCATTAGAAAGTTTTACTGTTTTGAAGCCATAGTACCAAACTGATTATGTTCAGGTGTGGTTTAATCTAACATCTATCTCTATTATTAACTCCTAGAAAAGATTAAAATATATTTCTTATTCTGACATTTGTTTTGGTTAGTATTACTATATATGACACACACTTTAGATTTCTGGGTTGGCAGTAGAACTCATTGTCATACGTTTGTCCACTCTTTTACTACCGGAGATCTAAAGTAGCTGATTATCTTTTCATATACATATTAGTGTCTTTCAAGGCTGACAATGCTTAAGAGCTAGGCCTAAACTTGCTAACTGAACATTTCTTTTAAATGTCAAAGGCATTTTCTCTTGCCTTAAAAGAAGGTTTATAAATAATGTTTTGCAAGGGTTGAAAAATGGCCCATCTTGGAATTGTACTGCACATAATTGTTTAGAAATTCTCAAACTGTTGAGAAATAATGTCCTGTTTTTACTGGTATATATAGTGGTATAAAAAGCCATTTTTCATCTTCAGTTTTTCTCTGCATTTCTGATTAATATCTTAAACAAGGTTCCTTCCAAAGAAAAGACTGTATCCCCATCTATGCACGGTAAGGCTCTGGAGACCAGTTACCAACTGATCGATGCTTTTCTCCTATGCACAACACTCTAGTGAGTCAGAGTAAACTGTGCTCCACAGGGTTTTCAGTGGTTGAGTTCTTCCAAGGAGATAATTAGGCAGTTTTTGGAGGCTTTGTTTCTTGGACTCATGTTTGACCTTTCAGTTGCAGCTGAGTGTTCTAATGGTTCTCATTATTCAAGGCTTGAAGCTCCACATACCTACTGTCAGCCAATTTCTGGAACAACTGTGCTATCTTGTGGAATAACTGTTGACCATATAGGTATCAAGTGATTTTAATTTTAGTGTTTGTAATTTGGTTAGGTGAAAACTTGCTTTTCATTGTTTTAACTTTTACTTCCTTAGGTATTCAAATATGAAACTACTGTTTACTTTTCATGCTTCATGACTCCTCTCCATTTTTCATTGAAAAAGTAATATTTTAGGGAGCTCTGGTGGCCTAGTGGTAAGAAGCTGCACTGCAATCCCGGAGGTACATGGTTCGAGTCCACCAGATGCTCTGCTGGAGAAGGAGGGGCAACCTCTTCCTGTACCAGTTAGATCTGATTTGACAGTACACACACAAAATAAAAAAATTTTAGGAAAAAGTAGTGTTTTTAATCAATTTTAATTCTTTCCAAATGAGATTCAAATAGGTAATAATCTGTAAGATTCATGGAAACTTTTCTACCAATTTGTGTAACTTTGTAGTAGTTTTACATACAGAGAGGTCTTGATTTTTTTAATAAAAATATTAATCTTTTTTATATTGTTTCTGTTGACTTGTATTTAATATTTATATTTTACATTTAAATTCCTCTCCTCATTCAATCATCAATTATACTTTAAAAATTTTTTTTTTTTAAATTTTATTATTTTGTGTGTGTGTGTGTACCATCAAACCAGATCTGACTGGTACATGAGGAGACTGTCCCTTTTTCTCCAGCAGAGCATCTGGTGGATTCGAACTGTGTGCCTCTGGAACTGCAGTGCAGCTTCTTGCCACTAGGCCACCAGAGCTTCCTTAAATATATACTTTTATTTTCCTATTTTATATTTTTTTAGGGTTGTATCTTAGTAGTGCCGTTGGTTGCCATCCAGTTTATTCTTCCTCATATCAACCCCAAGTGATAGAGCAAAGCTGTGCAAAAGCATTTGCTTCGCTGCAATATTTATGTTGTTGTTGTTGTTAGGTGCCGTCGAGTTGTAGATGACTCATAGCGACCCTATGAACCAAAGGCCCGAGCACTGTTCACAGGGTTTCCGGAGGCAAGCCATTTTGGACGTGGATGCTGCTTCTGCTTCCAAGCTTGTTTTAATCTGGGAGCTCCACCAAACATTGTCCACCATGGGTGACCACTATCATATTTGACACATGAGTGTCACAGTGCTTAGCATCACAGTAGCCACGAGTTACTTCTGTACAGCAATGCACAGACCTGTGTTAGTATTTTACCTGTTTAACACAACTGCTGTGTATCGCCTCTCCACAAAAATGATTCCACACAAAACACTGGTAAATGGAGAAGAGTTTATCTCTGGTTTCTCTCTCTTCCATCACTTTGTCGTCCTCAGAGTCGCTCCAGGACACGTAGTTGTCCTGGTTCCGATTACTGTACTACTCCAAGCTCTCAAACTGCTGCCGCTTGTACAACTTGTACTTCCGGAGAATCTCCAGCAGCCCGATGACTTTGGGCATCACAAACTTGAGGTCAAGTGAGGCAGGGGAGAAGTGCTCTTCACTGAGGGCAATATTTATAGTAGTTGATTATTAGATCTTTCTCCCTCAGAGGTGCTGAAGAAGTTTAATACACCAGCCTTGTGGTTATGCCATCATGATTCCTTATTTTGGTATAAAACTTAACTCCCTGCCACTGAGTCAGGCCCAACTCACGACTTACATACTGGCAGATGTTCAGACTACAATTCACAGAGGAGGAAAGTGCACATTTTTTCTTCCTCAGAGCAACTGGAGTATTCTCCTAACCACTTTAGCAGAAGACTCTCTACCCAGCAGGCCACCAGAGCTCCCTTATTGGAGTATAAGACATAATAAAATCCAAGACAACTTCTTGCCCCACACTTTTCCCATGTTACTCATTCAACAATGACTTATGTCGACTTATTTATTATTTCCCTTTTCATATAAGAACACATTACATTCCTACTACAGGTTACTTTGTCTTCCTAGGCTCCCTTTTCAAATCCACTGATCCATGCACCTATTCTCACATCAGCATCACAATGATCTTTCTATTCTAATTATCTGACTTTTATAATACAACTGACAACCATTTGCTCTTCAATCAATTCTGACTTAAGTTAGCCCTTAGTGTGTTAGAGCAGAAATATGCTCCATAACATTTTAAATGGTCAATTTTTCAGAAGTACTTTTATACTAAGGGCACCTTGAGTAAACTCAAATTTCCCCTTTTTGGTTATCATCTGTACCAGCTAGTGGTAACGTTTTACTACAATCAATTCTTCATATTTTCACATCTACCATACAGGCCTTTTGTAATTTTAAAACATTTTCTACTATTATTGCCTTCTGAATTCTTGTACATACACTTAAGGTTTACACTTAAAATCCTAAGAAATAAAGAGAAAAAACCCTAAGTGCATTCTGACTGGCAGTCTAAGTCTCGAGTTGTGGAAGCTCACTCATTTGCTGGCCTGCTCTGTGTGCTCCTCTTTCAAATAACACATGTACTCTCACCTCTGACTTCTGTGCTTGGTCCAGTCTAGACCTGTAATCCTTTTTATCCAGAGTAACCTGTATGGGCAACCTAATTAATCTCCCTAAACGAAATTTTTCTTCCTATATTTTTTCCTCTTTGCTGTTATCCGAGGTGACCTTGCCCAGTGCCGCTTCCTGTCCTCCTCTCTGGCAGGCTTTTCCTGGGTTTTACCTGAGATAACAGCAAAGAGGCGTCTTTCAGGTAAAACCCAGGAAAAGCCTGCCAGAGAGGGAGGACAGGAAGCGGCACTAGGCAAGGTCACCTCTGATAACAGCAAAGAGGCGTCTTTCAGGTAAAACCCAGGAAAAACCAAAGGAAAACATAATGTACACAGGACACGTCAACTTCCCTTGGAGACAGTACAACTAAACTTAAGAGACACTGGTCAAAAGGAAAAAAAAGTGTCAGCAGTTGACGTGTTTGGAATCACAGAAGCCAAGAAA